GGTATTTCATTTTCCTAGGCGCTATTGTAAAAGGTATTGTTTCTATAATTTCCCTCTTAGAGTGTTTTTTGTCTATGTAGAGGAATGCTATTGATTTTTTGGGTATTGACTTTATAACCTGCTATGCTACTGAATTTCTGTATTAATTCTAATAGCTTCTTGGTGGAGTTTTTTGGGTCTTCCAAGTAAAGTATTATGTCATCTGCAAATAAAGATATCTTAACTTCTTTACCTGTTTTTGTTTCTTTTATTTCTTTTTCTTGTCTAATGGCTGTAGCTAATGATTCCAGAACTATATTGAATAGGAGGGGTGATAGAGGACATCCTTGTCATGTACCAGATCTAAGAGTGAAAGATTTCAGTTTATCCCCATTTAGGATTATGTTAGCCATTGTATTTTCATAAATGGCTTTTACCAGATTGAAGCAGTGTCCATCTATTTTAATTTTCTGTAGGATTTTAATAATGAATGAGTGATGGACTTTGTCAAAAACCTTTCCTGCATCAATGGAGATGATCATGTGGTTTTTAGTTTTTTGCTGTATCGATATAGTGTATTACATTAATAGATTTTCAAATATTGAACCATCCTTGCAAACCTGGGGTGAATCCTACCTGGTCATGGTGTATGATCTTCTTGATGATTTGGTGTTTTCTATTTGCCAGGATTTTATTGCGGATTTTGGCATCTATATTCATGAGGGATATCAGCCTGCACTTCTCTTTCTTAGTTGCTTCTTTCCCTGGTTTTGGTATCAGTATAATACTTACCTCCAGGAATGATTTTTGGAGGATTGCTTCCTTTTCAATTTCTTGGAAGAGTTTGAGGAGTAGAGGGACTACATCTTCTGTAAATGTCTTGTAGATTTCAGCTGTGAATCCATCTGGACCTGGACTTTCTTTGCCAGTAGGTTTTTAATTACATCATGTAAATCCTTGGCTGTTATGGGGCTATTGAGAGTGTCTGTATCTTGTCGATTCAGTTGTGGTAATTTGCACCTTTCTAGGAATTTGTCCATTTCTTCTGTGTTTTCTATTCTGTGAGAGTAAAGATTCTCAACGTAGCTATTGATAATCTCCTGAATTTCCATTGGGTCTGTGGTGATTACACCCTTTTCTTTCCTTACTGCTTGTATTTGAATTTTTTCTTTCCTCTGTTTGATGAGGTTAGCTCTTTAATATTTTAAAGAACCAGCTTTTTGCTTTTTTAATTCTTTGAATTGTTTTCTTCATCACAATTGAATTAATTTCTGCTCTAATCTTTATGATTTCCTCCCATTTTCGAGCTCTCTGTTTGGTTTGATCTTCCTTTTCTAGTTGTTGAAGGTGCACCATTAGGGTGTTTATTAGTTCCCGTTCTGTTTTCCTAATATGTGAGTTCACAGCTACGAATTTCCCTCTGAGAACTGCTTTCATCGTATCCCATAAATTATGATAAGTTGTGCTTGAATTTTCATTGAATTGTAGATATTGTTGAATTTCTTGTTTAATTTCATCTGTGACCCATTGGTTGCTGAGTAGGGTGTCATTTAATTTCCATGTATT